AAAATTAAAATCATAAAAATTCCAAAACAGGTTCCGGATGTCGGAGTTGGCAAAAAAGTTAACACTAATTATACCTTTTTGTTGTAATATTTTTAGACTTTTGTAAAAAAACAAAACAAAAAAACTGGTAGCTTATATTCATAATACATTATTGATACCGTCCGCACTCAAACATAGTATTGGTTTAGAAAAAGAATTGTAGAAATTTTTGAAACTAGATTCTAAAAAAAGAATCCTACTTGTACTCGCAATTGGCTATGTCCTGTCCCACTGAATTATAAGTGTCAGATTTCGCACATGATCACTGAGTTCGAGTCCAAGAGAAGGACTTTATATTACTACTTTGAGTTATTACCCAGTCCCTATCTATGTTTTTTTAAGTAGCTATGCATGTTTATATGCAAAGAAGATGTTCTTTGAAGAACCTTCCCTGCTGGAAAAGAAAACACAAAACACTGAAGTCGCTTGTATTCTGATGGAATCTTTAGAATGAAACCTTTTGTGTAGAACGTTTCATATTCCCTGGGTTCCTATGGTTACGTTCTCGCTAAGGACCACTTAACTGACACCTCCCATCATCTCTCTCTTTCTTCTCACTGTGACGTCAGCTGTTTTTATCCCAGGTAACATAGTTCGGGAAGCTCTGAATGGTCTAAAAGATTAGACAAGCACCATAAACACTGTTGCGCTACTGTGTATGATTTACACGGACACGGGTTAACTGCTTGGGTATAAGTGTCAGGAACAAGAACTTTGGCAAGTGAAAGACCGTCGTGTAAGATATCGACGCAGGCGCTCATAGTTGATTTTAGTGTTTTACGACTCGTGGTCAGTGGCACTAGTTCACATCCATTAGATCTTGTGAAACAAGGGAATATGAATAATGTATTAGTAGTGAAATAAAAACGATGGAAAAAATTATAGTCGTTGTTCAAACAGTTCAGTAGAATCTAATTTACTAACGACCTTCGAATATGATTCGCTCATTTGTGCTCCAATACACGTGTGAAGACTACACCTCATTCAAAATTTCGAATTGTGAGAAATATCACGAGGAACAGAATATCTTCCCACGGTTGACCATATGCTCCGGTTTCTTTTTAAGCTAAGAGATAATTCATAAAAGGTACAGTATGCTTAAGTCTGAAACCTATGTACTCAAACCTTTAATGTAAATTTGACACATTTTCATAAGATATGTTTATCTTTAATACCTCTTATTTGTCCCAACGTAAACTTACATAGTTCGTTTTTATTCTGGTATATATATATATATATTTGTTTGTTCGAAGTTAAGCACAAAGCTACACAATGGGCTATCTTTGTTGTACCCACCACGAGTATCGAAACCCGGTTTCTAGCATTGTAAGTCCACAAACATGCCGCTGTGCCACATATAAGGGATTGTTGAATTTGTCTTTCAAACAGAGAAAACCACAATCAGCGCTGGGTGCCCGTCTAACCCTATAAGTAAACACGATTCGTTAGCATTCCTTCAGGCGGAAATAAAATATTACTGATAAATCTTTCTGACTCGTTTCTGATTTGGTAACATTACTCCACCAAGAATCGAACGTAGAACACTGTCAACGTGACGTCACAGAGATTTCTTGGGCGAGAAAACTCTTTCGTTTCCTGTCTAACCTTCACAGGCAAACTGTACTTACCCGTAAGTCCACACAATCAATCTTAACGTCTCTTCCTTATATCATACCATACCCTAATGTGCTTAGTTTTACATGCTTCATTAATTTGATGAGATATGACATAGACCTTAAACATCGCTAAGGCCAAAGTTAACTCCTGATACCGAAGTATCACGTGGAACCGTTTTAATTAAAAAATTGTTTCGTTAATGTTTTCTATTAAACGAATTAGGTTGTCTGATCGTGAGAAGAGATGAGTTTACAAATTAGCAGTTAGGATAAGGAATCTGTAATTTGTTAGGGTAACTTATGATTGAAATATAAGGAATCTGTAATTTGTTAGGGTGACTTATGATTAAAATATAAGGAATCTGAAATTTGTTAGGGTGACTTATGATTGAAATATAAGGAATCTGAAATTTGTTAGGGTGACTTATGATTAAGATATAAGGAATCTGGAATTTGTTAGGATGACTTATGATTAAAATATAAGGAATCTGTAATTTGTTAGGGTTACTTATGATTGAAATATAAGGAATCTGTAATTTGTTAGGATGACTTATGATTAAAATATAAGGAATCTGTAATTTGTTAGGGTTACTTATGATTGAAATATAAGGAATCTGTAATTTGTTAGGGTGACTTATGATTGAAATATGAGGTCCTTTTTAAAAAATTAAATCTAACCTGAATTGTACTGGAAATAGAATATCAAGCTAAAACAATATCCCTGCTATCCCCTCATACTAAAATTGTGATGCTATCTCCTAATTTAGGTAACGAGCTTTTATAGTAAACAAAGAAGAAAAGACACAAAACACTATTGAATAATGCTTTTGGATTAATTGTCAATGTCTAACAGACGTAGTAAATATGTCCAGAAAGATAGTTTTGACTTTTACTTTAGACCTCGTTCATTCCGTCCAAATATACTGCTCTGACCTTTTAAAAAATAGTCATATAGTTTCGTAACTTCTTATTACCCAAGTCACACACCTACTGAGCAACTTCATGATTTTTCTCCATATTTTATGAATTTTATTGGCATCGTCCTTCAGAAAATGAAAAGGTCAACGTGATTTCTAATAACCATTGGCAACTACTAACAGTACTAATGTAAACTGTGTAGTAAATGTACTGTATGTAATGCGTCATTGCATGACTCAACAAATATAATACGAACTTGTGATCATATAAATAGCTTTATATCACAATGTGAACTATTAGCAACAGTATTTTACCAAAGATTTATAGAAAACTTTGATGAGGCCTAAAATGAATATCCTAATATTGCTTGTAACTCTATAAATATACAATATTTTCAAGCCATACAAAAAATGGTGTTCCGATTTTGAAATTTTTTAAACTAATTGTATTATGTACAGGATTTTCATAAAGTGACTTAGCATTCTCTAACATCAATCAAATGAATGATATTCATCTTAGAATGATAATTATTAGTGATTCTACCAATGAGACCACGGGAAACATTAATCTATGATCACCTGAAATACTCACTAGGAGGCGCTATCTGATGAATGTGGCCATTATTCATATCAACGATAGTTTACATCCTTGGGATGACGTGTTGTGGACAACTTAACGAGACTGTCCACTATTAAATATGGCTACGTGTTGTTTGACGTCTTCGGTCAATTCCATCAATATAACAAGTGCTTCACAATACACATCTACCGAAAGCCAAATATTAAGTAAAACATCTGACATTATATGGTAGAATGTTGAGAACCATCGTCAGATGTCTATTACGTCATTCCAAGGATGCAGACCATCGTTGACATGACTTGTGGCTATAATGAATAGTTAGTGCCCTCTGATGACCGTTTCCGTTGACCATTGATCTATATTCCCCCTAGTCTCATTGGTATGAATAGTGTTCACCGTTGTGTTGATGTTTGAACAAGCAAAGAAACTTTATAAGAACACTGTATTTATTAAACAGTTATTGACCGCTTACTCGTTTTCTGTTGTTGTTGATATTTTCAAGTTTTTATTGGTTAGCTATTTTCTTTTTCTTTTTACTAATATGCTTATGTTTTATTTTTTAATCTATATTATACAATAACCCTTTTAATTTTTTATTATTGCTATTTTTTTGTAAATTTTTCAGAAAACGAAAAAAAAACGTTTTTAGACCAAGAATAGACCCACATAGTCAAAATTTACCTCTGACCCTTCAATAATCGAGGCCGAAAAACGGAGACCGTTCTCAGTACTGCTTCGGTGGAGACCCGCCCGCAGCTAGGCCTAACTCTCGTTCGTTGTGGCTTCCCGGGTTTGCAATCATCACAGAAGATGCCACACAAAGGTAAACATGATAACTGCATGGTATTTTCTGATGTCTTAGTTTGTGGATTTCTAAGGGTTGTCACTCTCTCACATTAAGGGGTCAAACGAACAACATAACTGATGTGATGGTAGTTTCGTTCGTATTAAAAACAACATTTGGTATGGTGGCAGTTTCGTCTGTATAAAACACAAATTGATTCAATCTGCGCATCACTGACGATGATCCGTTTTCTTAAATGCAGATATGAACAAAATATAACCAGCCTTTAGTTTCTGCGTGCAACATAAGATATCTAACGTTTTAATATAAGTCCCACTTGTTACGCAGTTTAACACAGAAAAGGGGTTAAATAGATAAATATACGAAGAGTATTCAATCCAAACCTTTCCACAGAGGGAGAGGGATTGTGAAGCTGCAGGGGAAGGAATTCAAATTCAAATTGAACAAAATGGAAAATACTGGAGGGGGAGATTTTTTTGCACAGGGGAAAATCCCCCTGTACACCCCATGAATTTAACACTGTATACGAATAGATAACTGATCAATGACGTGGTTGACCAAAGATGCTGGTCAACCATCCATACTAATTATTCCGGTTACTGAAGATATCGTTGTCCAACCCACAATAAAATTATCTTCAAAGAATATCTAAATGTTTTAACGCAAGTGTCTTTTTTTTTTCACGTGTGAAGCAAACGCAACGCCTTGTATACAATACAATAATAATAAAAAACAATTTTCAACTCCTTTTGCGTACTGATTACGCATTATTATCGTGTGCTAAGTTTAAATCATACAAATTTTTACTTACCTATTACGCTCGAGAGCCAATATTTGGGCAAGAGAGAAAATGAAACACGTCCTTATATGTAAAGAACACATCTTAAGACCAAAGTTCTCACTTTAAGGCATCTGAAACGAATACGTCCGCTCATCCAAATGTGACCCTATTTTATAGCATTCGATCACACATGAATATTGTATCTGTATTTTACCGAGGGTTTGTGTATATCATATCTTTTCAAATATGGCTACATGTATTTACGTACAAGAAAGCCGTATTGATATCACACAATGTGGATGTATGTATTATTAGTCTTTTTCCAACGTCTATACTATTGTTGCGTTTTCAAAAGGCTGCTTTAACTGTAGTTGCTAATATTTTCATTCAGTATTGCTGAAGTACATTTTAATCCGTTGGGGAGCAAATCCTATATCAATAGAACCGAATTCGTGCTTGTATTTTTTGGGGTGAATATTGAGGAGGGGCTAATTTTTGTCTACTCTGAAGAGCGGTCACCTGCATTAAACTTTTCTATGTGTAACACAGCCCAAACAATGTTCTTGTCAAACAGAAACGCTCTTTTCAGCTCTCTATACTATTAGTTTGCGAATAGCAGGCTATTCTTTGTGTGTTATTATGGAGGTTGCACCACAATTGGATTCCAAGAAAAATTAAGCACCGAAAAATAGACAGGACTATATATACATATACATTGTATGCTATGTTCAAATCCCTTAGTAAATATCTGTTTGTAAAGGGATATGTAATCCTGTTATATACAGATAAGCGATAGAGGCACGTAAGCAAAGTAAAGAAACATAGTCTATCTCCCAGCATGGCAAGGTTAGTCGAGATTTTTTACCGCCCCTTTCTTACTGCGCGTGCTTCTATGAACGTTATCATCAGTCATACGCGCCCATGATGGTTTCCAGCAAACACATTCTCAGTGCGCGGTTCTTCCTGTAGCTCGTGTCTCGTGCACCTCGTGCTGTACATGGAGGACTATGTCTAGATGGGCATTCACACCATCGAAGGTGAGGTTTCAACCAAATTAGATCTGTTTTACGTGTAAACCATTTTTTTTTAATTATATTATAAAAAATATTTAGTTTCAAGAAAAAAAATACCACGAATTTTCAATTGAAAAATATAGACATATTCCTATACGTATTATGCTCACCAGATTCTAGATTGATAATTCACACACATGCTAACGAGCTTTCAGTGTTTGTACTTCTGTGTAAGATTGAAATTGTTTCTATTATACACTTGGAAATCAATGAATCACAACCACATGAAGTATCAGCACACCAAAGTAATCGTAAACACTTTATTTATTGTGTTTATACATATAACAAATTAGAGAAAATTATTTTAACTCAAAAAGAGAGAGACCCTTCCCACACACGCGTTAAACCACAGAATGTTAAAACGGACAAATTAAGGATACAAGTTTAAAAATTCAGCTTTTCATCGAGTTAAAAAAGCATTAACAGGCAAAAGCATCAGCAGACGACAAGTACTAATGTACGATAGGGGTACAAAAATCTTAATACGTATAATTGGGTATCAATAAACTTATTTTTTTTTAAGAAATCATGTTAACGTGTAATGTATAAATAAACTGGAACAAGTAAATATTTATTTATACATGTTGGACTGGTTTTATGATGTGCCTTACTTGTTTGTTTATAAGTGCATTCTTATTGTCAGTTTCTTCTTGCCCTGTTATGCTTAGTTAACTCAGTGAAATTTTCCAGTTTTTAGTTTTTTTGGCCTTGTATTCGAATCTATGCTATTGGCTTACACAACCGAAACGGAATGTTCGTCATATCACACAACCAACAACCGTTCTGCAAGTAAACTTCTCCTTATAACATATCAGTTTGTAACAAACCGATTCCCCATATAATAAGCCACATTTTTTTTTTTGCACGGATACCACAATTACGTTTCTGTTATAAGACAAAGTTAATTCATAACCAGTCCTTTTTTTTTACTAAATTAACCAGGGAAATGGGAACTTCAAAATCTGTTTTGTTTCCCCCCCTTTTTTTTTCATTCAGTAATATACTCCGCACGTGAGACGAATTTCCTATAATCGTTTTCATTAAACGTCTTTTAAAATTATAATTACCTTCGACTTATATACATTTATGTGTGTTCAACTGCGTTAATTAATGAAAGTAATCAATTACGTTCTTCATAAACTTGGTATACCAGCAAAAACTCTTCAAAATAATATCATATCACTTGTATTAAAGTTTACAAAAATATAAGGTTACTTTAGATTCCCATCTGGTTTAAGTATATGTTTAGTATGTTCCCTCTCTTACTACTTTACCCGCCCCTCCCCGACATCTGAGAGATATTTAATTTTGATAGCATATAATGTTCAAATTAGGGGCTCAATCCCTGCAGTAGCACTGCGACGACAGCTCATCGTGCAACATTTACGCAAAACTAAACAAACGAAACAACAACAACAAAAAGAAATGTGACATTTGTATCTAATAGACAGATAGATTGGTTAGAGTATCTTGAAAACTTTATAAGTTTTCCTTTATTAAAACTAGTCAGACTTTATATTTATTAACTTACATATTAAAAACCTTCAGGAATTCCTAATAATGTTTAGTAGATCTTGAAAATGTTTTTAAATCAAGTTAATGCTATTTGAACATTTAATCCTCGATGGACAGAGCGCAGATAGCCCACTGTGTAATTTTGCGTTAGAAAAAACACAACAACAATTGAACATTTACGTTTATTGCGTTAGAAAAAACACAACAACAAGTGTTTATTGCGTTAGAAAACACACAACAACAATTGACCATTTATGTTTGTTGCGTTAGAAAAAACACAATAACAATTGACCATTTATGTTTGTTGCGTTAGAAAAACACAACAACAAGTGTTTATTGCGTTAGAAAACACACAACAATTGACCATTTATGTTTGTTGCGTTAGAAAAAACACAACAACAAGTGTTCACTGCTTTAGAAAACACAACAACTGTTTATTGCGTTAGAAAACACACAACAACAATTGACCATTTATGTTTGTTGCGTTAGAAAAAACACATCAACAAGTGTTTACTGCGTTAGAAAAAACACAACAACAAGTGTTTACTGCGTTAGAAAACACAACAATAACTGTTTATTGCGTTAGAAAAAACACAACAAACATTTATTTCTTTACAAAAGACACAGCAACAAGTGTTTATTGCGTTAGAAAAACACAACAACAACTGTTTATTGCGTTAGAAAAAACACAACGACCATTTATTTCTTCAGAAAAGACACAACAACAACAACTGACGTTTTACGTTTATTTTCCAGATACGTGCTGGTACGTTATTGATGAAATGATCATAATTTAGATTTTGTTTTTTAAGTAATTAAGAAGGTTGATCACGAGTACTTTAGAACTGAGTTTATTTCAGAAGTATATAATAATAATTGTTATAAAGTATTAATTTTAAAATAATCATAATTAAGAAAATAAAACCGAAACTCAATCATTCTTCACACAAACGTTTATATGTACATACATATATATTATCCAGGAAACATCTCTTGTTAATATATATTATTCCTTTTTTCTTGCGATCCGAAACCCTATATGATAAGCTTAAAAAAAAAGAGTTGATAATAGTCTTCTTCCTTAGGTTGCAAAAAAATGCATCTCATTTTGTGATTTGTTTTCTTTATAGGAAAACCGTCGTAAAGTGTTCTTAACCGATATTGGAGAGATTCTGTAAATCAGAGTTAATTTTTGAGGCTTCTGCTATATTAGCCCGGCATGCCCATGTGGTTAGGGCGCTCGACTCGCAATCTGCCGTCGCGGGTTCGAATCACCGTCCCACCAAACATGCTCGCCGTTTCAGCCGTGGGGGGCGTTATAATGTGACGGTCAATCCCACT